CTAGGACAAAAACAGTGGAAAGATAATGTGGAAATAATTACCACCATTTTGTATCTTGGAGCAGTCGCTAAGGCAAAGGGCTCAACATAACTTTAAACTGGATTCCCATTAAATGAAAAAGCTGATGAAATTGCTAAATTGGCAACTCGTCATCCAGTGATACATAAAACAATTCAACCCAGCCTAGAGAACATAAAAAACATCATCACCAAAAAAACTCTCACATCTCAACAAAGCCTACCTGCACCAGAGAATAGCTGAATCGCCATCTGCAACATGGTATCTTCAGGCAACCAAATTAGAAAGGTTAAATATCCCAAAAGGAATCCACAGGGAAATAGCAGTTAGGCTATATACATTACGTCTAGGTTACAGATGCAACTGGGAGATTGGTGAACCCCGACAGAGAGAGTGCATCTTCTGCCAAACTGTCACAGAAAAGCCATTACTTCACTATCTTCTGGAATGTGAAGCAACCAATGACCTTAGAAGAGCTTTAAGAGTTCCTGAATCATGCAGTGGCCACCCTGAAGCCATCAACACAGCCACTCTCCTGGTCAACAAAGGTGTCCAGCAGCTGGACACCCTCATAAAGACTGTGAAGCAGTATCCTCCCCCACGATAACAGCTTGATGGTTAAATGCAACCTCAGAATACTGAGAAAAAAAAAATGTACCACTTACGGGCTATTCATGCCCGTGCCACCTCTTGGGTGGCTTAATCTTTATCAATCAATCAATCTTCAGAGCGTCAGATTACCTTTCTGGTGTTCATTGCTTCAGCATCTATCCTTGCCTATGGGTGACGGTAGACGCACATAGAATTTAGTATGTTTTACTTTCACCTATGTTATGAATGTAAAATTCACATGTAAATATTTCTCTTTTGATTGTGTTCAAGCCAAGCGAATAAGGTAAGTTTCATTAATTATTTGTCATTATGTGTAAAATTAAAATAATTTTGGTTGTATTACATGTTTGAAGTTTTCATTTTCTTTTTTTACCCGCAGCTCTCACACAGTAAAGGTATCCAGCAGTTTTTTTACTTAGTTTTCTCTTTTTTTGTATTAATGTGCAAATTGGCACAACACCTGCCAGAATAGTTACTGCTCTATTACTGCGTCACATTATCATAGCAATATGGAAGTTGTAATGAAGGACCTGATGACTCTAATTAGTGCCCTGAGGACGGAGTTGGACTCTCTACAGGAGGAGGTACGACAGCTGAAACAACATCGAGAAGAAACGAAGGAGGCGACCAGTAGTAAAAAGACCTCGTCTTGGAAAGTAGTGAAGGACAGGGGCCTTAAGAAGACTGATAAATCCGCCAACATACGCCCTAAGAACTTCTAATTCATTTGCCATATTGGAGGACGAGTGCTGTGGTGAGACTGTTGGTCATGCGAAAGGGAAAGCAACAAAGAGCAACGAAGCGCAGGCCCCTCAGAGAGTAAAGGAAGTACCTAAGAGAACTTTACTTGTGGGAGATTCCCAGATAAGGTATCTGGATAGAACGTTCTGTGCTAGAGATAGGAAGTACAGGTTAAGGGTTTGCTATCCCGGAGCTGGTATTGGAGATATTATAAACAACATGAATGATATTATGGCTGGAAATGGGAACAATCCCGTTACTTGCATTAGCGCGGGAGGAAATGATGTTGGTCGAGTTAGGAGTGAAGAACTGATTCAGAGGTATAAAACAGCCATAGAATTAGTTAGAAGCAAGGGAGGAATCCTGATCATATGTGGCATTCTTCCAAGAATGGGAGTTGGAAATGAATGGATGTCAAGGGCACTTGGTGTCAATTGCCGGCTGGAAAGATATTGCAAATCAAATGCAATATCTTTCATAGACAACTGGGAACACTTCTATGGAAGAAATGAAATGTATGCTCGTGATGGGATGCATCTATCGAGGGCTGGGGTTGTTGTTGTTGCGAACTCGTTGGAACCAGTAATTAGAGGCGTTTGTTTGGGTTTAAACTGTTAGTAGATTGTGGAATGGGAATTGATTTGGAGGAAGGAGGTAATAAAAGTATGTGTTTGTGGGAGAAAAGAATTGGCAAAATGATCAGGGAAAGAGAAGGGCCTTAAAATAACAATTCACAATTCAATTCACTTACACTAACACTAGAAGTCTAAGAAATAAAATAAACGATTTAAATGCTGTTGTCTGCACAGAAAAAACATAGATATTATTGCACTTACCGAAACGTGGATGAATGTAGAAAATAGAGAGCTATTAGCTAAATATCAAATAAATGGATTTAAACTATTTCACACAGATATATTAGACGAGGAGGGGGAGTAGCCATATATGTTAGGGACAATTTGAAATGAAGTCTCAAAGAGGGAATCAAAACTGAGCCACATACAGAAACTATTTGGAGAGAATTAAAAGAAAAAACAAATAATATTATAATAGGAGTTATATATAGACCACCAAATTTAGACAGAATGGATACAAAGCATCTATGGGATGAAATATCTAGAGCATCTAGATCTAACAGTATTTATGTCATGGTTGCCATTAATTTTAATGGAATAAACTGGTCAAACAAAACAGGGAATAATGAAGCAGAAGATTTTCTAGAAGTAATTGACGATTGCTTTCTTACGCAACACATTAAGGAACCAACGCAGGGAAATAATATTTTAGATTTAGTGTTAACTAACAGGGAAACACAAATTAAGGACATCAAAATAGGGAGTGAGCTAGGGAAAAGTGATCGTAAAGAAATCAGATTTAGCATTGAGTGGAATAGATCTGTAGGAGAAAATTCTGTTAAAGTGCCTGATTTTCGAAAAGCTGATTTCAATAGCCTAAGAATTTTTTTGGGTCAAATAGATTGGAAAGTCTTGGGTATGGGTTGTGGGCCGGTATTGGAGCTAGACGTGAACCCAGCGATAGGTGACGTAAAAGGGGTTTTCGATGTGGATTCAAAATATAACCTATTTAAAAATATTCTAAGCAAAGCCCAGGAATTTAGTATACCATATAAATTGAATAGATCGAATACTAATGATCCAAAGTGGATAACAAAGGATCTGAAGAACCTTATAGGTAAAAAGAGAGCGCGGTACAAAAGGATTAAGAATGGGGAAGTCAGTTTAGAACAGGAATTCGTACAACTGGTTAGAAATACTAAAAAAGATATAAGGAAAGCAAAAAGAAACTATGAAGTTCTCATAGCAGAGCAAGCAAAGACAAATCCTAAAGGGTTTTTCCAGTTATACCAGACAAAAATTAGGGAAAGGATAGGTCCATTAAAAACTGAGACAGGTCAAATAACAGATAGTGATGAAGTGATGAGTAGTATTTTTAATAAGTATTTTATATCTGTATTTACTCAAGAGGAACTTAACAATATGCCTTCAGCCGAACAAGTCTATGTGGGTGGGGACGAGGACAGGTTGACTAGTTTAGCAGTTACCAGGGAGGATGTTATTAAACAAATAGTAAAACTCAAACCAAACAAATCCCCATGGCCAGATGAAGTGTTTGCCAGGGTGCTTATATAATGCAAAGAGGAGCTTTCCGAGCCACTGTCAACCATATTTAATAATTCAATAGAGTCAGGCAGAGTGCCAGAATTATGGAAAGTTGCTTATGTGATACCAGTTTATAAGAAAGGAGATAGATCACTTGCGTCAAACTATCGGCCAATTAGCCTAACGTACATTGTGGGAAAGTTACTCGAATCGATAATTGCAAATAAAATTCGTCTTCATCTTGAAAAATATAAATTAATAATAATGGAGTCACAAAATGGTTTCATAAATGGCCGTTCATGTTTATCAAATTTGTTATCTTTTTATTCTAGCATTGTTGAGGCAGTTGATAGTGGTAAGGATTGTGATGTTGTGTACCTTGACTTTAGCAAAGCTTTTGATACAGTGCCACATGGAAAGATTGATTAAAAAGATAGAGGCTCATGGTATTGGGGGTGCTATATTAAGCTGGATTAGGGCATGGCTATCCCAAAGGAAACAGAGAGTTAGTATAAATGGAGTCAAGTCAGAATGCGAAAATGTTGTAAGTGGAGTGCCTCGAGGCTCTGTCCTGGGCCCTCTGTTGTTTATAATATATATAAATGATTTAGATTCAGGTTTGAGTAGCAACATTTGCAAATTTGCCGATGATACAAAAATCAGTAGAGAAATTAATATGGAAGAAGACTCACTATCACTTCAAGTTGATCTAAATAGGGTTTTGAAATGGTCAAAGGATTAGCAGATGCAGTTTAATGCTGATAAATGTAGAGTTCTGAGGCAAAGTAATGATGATAGAGTTACAAGATACGAGCTAGATGGTGTTGAGATTGCGAAGTCGGATTGCGAAAGGGATCTGGGAGTTATGATTAGTAAGAACTTAAAACAAAAGGATCAATGCATGAATGTTCGTAATAAGGCAAATAGGACACTGGGATTTATTAATTGAAGCGTTAGTAACAAGACACCTGATGTGGTTCTTCAGCTCTATCTAGCTCTGGTTAGGCCCTATTTAGATTATGCAGTTCAGTTTTGGTCGCCATATTATAGAATGGATATAAATTCACTTGAACGTGTCCAGCATAGGATGACTAAGTTAATTCCCCAAATTAGAAATCTTTCATATGAAGAAAGATTAACAAAGCTTAAGTTGCATTAACTGGAAAGGCGAAGAGTTAGAAGTGACATGATAGAGGTTTACAAGTGGATGAATGGACATAACAAAGGGGATATTAATAGGGTTAATAGGGATTATTGGGGATTATTAATAGGTATTGCTAAAAAAAATTACTATCCGATCTTCATTTTTTTTTAAATGCGAGCCATTGTTTTCCCACAATCCTCCATAGGCCGCATGGGATTCTGGGTCACGCCATGCGGTCGGCCTTTGTTTACCTCTGTCGTGACCGGAATGCCGCCCGCCCGCGTCTAGAACTTGTGCACCTCTCTGCCCTGTTTAGGCGTGTTTATTCGTTCCTATGTCTTGCAATCACCGTATTACTTGAAAACATGGATCGTGGTAAAGGACAGAGCACTTCGGCGCCCAAGAAAGATACGAAAACCACCAAGGGGGATAGGTTGTGTATGCTCTATCAAAAGTTCAGCAGGGTGAAGCTTACCCCCAGTAAAATTCCTGAATTGTTGGATAATTTATCTGATGTCGAGGCAGATGTTGAGGGGGAAGAACGTCAAAGCGATTTCAGTAGTGATAATGAGGGGACCGCGACGTCTGATGAGTTTGATGAATCATCGAGTGAGGAGAGTAGCGAGGGGAGTGAGGATGAGGCGACGGATGAGGGCCGCCCCAAGCCACCCATAAGGAGGCGTGCAGGACGGCTTCACCAGCCAAATCCTGATGATGCCTGGTCTAGTGACAATACACCACCATTTGTAGACAGTTTCACTGCCACACCAGGCCTAACTGTCCCAGTGCCAACCACTCCCGTGCAATTCATACAATTATTCCTGACACGGGCCCTCATTGAATATATCACAGTGGAAACGAACAGATATGCCAGACAATTTATTCAGAATGCTTCCAGGCACACCATGAGGATGTGGCAAGAGGTGTCGTTGAAGGAAATGGCCAGGTATTTGGGTCTGTCTATGTTGATGGGTATTGCACCCCTCCCGACGATGAGAATGTACTGGCAAACAAGCCGGTTGTGGCATATGAGGACCTTCAATATTTTCATGACTGCAAAACGATACCAACATATCAGCCAGTTTTTCCATAGTTACAACAAGCTTGTAATTTCCCCAAACAATAAGGACCGAATGATAAAAGTGCGCACAATCATTACTTATTTTACCACCAAGTTTGGCACATACTACGTTCCCAATAGAGCACTCAGTTTGGATGAAGGAACAATGTCGTGGCGTGGTCGTTTATCCTTCAAGGTTTACAATCCAAATAAACCAGATAAGTATGGGGTAAAGTTGTACATGCTTGCTGAGGCAGGGACTGGCTACATTATTGACTTTGAGGTGTATGCCGGAGTTGGTAAGACAACAGTGGAGACAATGATGGCCTTGATGCGGCCATTATTGCACAAGGGTTATCATCTCTATATGGACAATTACTATAACTCTGCCCATCTCACAGAATTGCTACGGGAACATAGTGTACACTTGTGGAACACTCAGATTGCAGCGTGGCGCACCCAAAATTCTGCAACAACTTGCAAAAGGCAAATTCCCTGTTGATCAAACCATTTTCAGGCCCAAGGACAACACTTTTATTATCCTATGGAAATACAAGAGAGTGGTGTCAATGATCACAAACTGCCATAGTGCTGACACACAAGAAGTACAGCGAAGGAAGAGAGTGAGGAAACGTGACGGAGCAACATCAGTAAAGATTGTAGCTGTGAACAAACCCACTGCCATTTGCGACTACAACACCACCATTAAAGGTGTTGATCACTTCGACCAAATGGTCAAATATTACAGGTTCACCAGGAAATCACATAAGTGGACGAAGAAGATCACATTTTATTTCCTTCAGATGGCTATACACAATGCATATGTGTTGTACAAGATGTACACAACTGATGCCAAGAAATTGACCCTACTCCAGTTTCACGAGGTAGCAATATGGTCCCTGTTGAGGTGGGACCAGGATGAGTGGCCTGCAACTGAAAGCCCTATCCCACATGCTGAGGATTACCAAGATCCTTCTGATGATATCAAATCAGCTATCAGGATAGATAAAAACAGTCCCCGTAGTAGTAGGAGAATGCTCATCAAACTTGCAAATCCCTCTGTGAAGTTTGACCTCATACAATCAGCTGCTAAGCATAAAACCAACCTCTATATAAATGAGTGTCTTACAAAGCAGCGTGGATCCCTCCTCTTCAGGCTGCGTCAAATTCGCAAACTAAACCCTGGTCTTATCAAGCAGTGCTACACTAGGAATGGAACGATTATTGCGAAGAAGGAAAGTGCAGGAAAAAGATATGAAATAAAATGTGACCAACAACTACTGGCCTTCTTTAGAGATTGTGGTATATCTGAAAACCTGAACCCGACCAATGCCAGTACTTAAAATAACTCTTTCAGTGCCTGAGCCTAACCTAACTTAATCTAACTTTGTCTAAGGTGCTGTCTCTGCCTTACCATTTACCTAATGTTCTCTCATTCATATAATTTCCTAAATAATCCGTCAAGTCTCCATGCACTTATGCAAGCATCTACCTCAGTTTCATTGTAAAATTTTACTCTTAAATGTAATCTTTCCCTATTCCATTTAAATTTTAAATTTAATCGTACTGATTTATGTCATTTATTGAAATCAATTATTGATCTCATTTTGTTCTTTTAATTAAGTTCATACTAATTATAGGTTAAAAACTAAGCTAAATAAATTTATTATCTTTAAGATTATTTTACTTTACAATTATCATTTGTCAAATTGTTTATATATTCATCTTGACAGTCTCTACTGATTTTTTGTTCTCTCCATCAAACTTGTGTATCCTCCATGGCTATCTAGTGACCTTTATTCTACCTCTAATTGTTTCAATTCTTTTGTTTACTTGCATTTATTGTTGTGTTTTGCCATAATTATTCTCTAATTTTAGCAGACTTAATACTTTGTAAGCTCTTACTGTATTGTTATATTATTGTATTGTTGTGTTTTGCTATAATTACTTTCTATTTTACAGAAGATTTAGCATTTATCTGTTCCTGTAATTGCTTATCTTTTTGTATCGTGACATTATCTTATTTATATGCTTACTGATATTGATCCTGATCGAAATCTTCTATCCCATATCCACACAAATCAGCACATTGTTCATCATTATTGCAGGTAGTACACAGCAAATCTTGCAAAAAACAAACTCATAAATAGCACCTGCTTATCAGTTTACAACCAAAATGTTAGGTCACTTGGTAAACATTTTGATGATATAAATGCACTACTTACAGCACTAGGTACTAAATTATCATTCATCATTTTAACAGAAACTTGGCTAAGTATTGACTATACCCAACTCTACAATTTAGCTGGTTATAAAGCCATTCATAACTGCAGGCCTAATAAAAAAGGTGGTGGTACAGCAATATATTACAAAGATACCTTCATTTGCAATAGTGTTATTAGTGATCGAGATGACTATTGTGAATATACCTTTGCCAAGTTCTCCAATAAATACCTTAAATCCTCCCAGACTATCGGTGCCATCTATAGATTTCCTAATACCAACATAGCTTTATTCTCTGACAATGTAAGGAATCTTATCATAAATAACAATCTCAACAAAATTCACATCATTCTGGGAGGTGATTTCAATATTGACCTGGGTCTTCAAAACAACCCTCAAGTTGACAATTTCCGTAACAGCATGCACTCCTGTATGCTAATCCCCACAATCACCAAGCCCACCCGAGTCACTCAAACATCTGCCACTACCCTGGATCACCTATGGACTAATATAACAGCTTCCCTTACATCTGGGGTAATTTATGACAGAACAACTGACCACTATCCAACTTTCCTCATAGCAAACATTGACACATCACCACCAGAAACCAAGAAACTTTCATTCAGGCTACATAGTGAATCAGCTTTAGGCAATCTCTCTAATGCACTTCACAATATTAACTGGGAATCTGAATTTAATAATTCACAGGATATAAACTCATCAACTAACCTCTTTCTCTCCAAAACTCTAAGCCTCTACAGCACTCACTGTCCCCTCCTTACCAAACAAGTAATTGATAAAAGAAAAAATAACCTGTGGCTCACAAGTGGCATAATTAAATCAATAAACAAAAAACATGAATACGAAAAGAAATTTAGGAGTGGCCTAGTTTCAAAGGAAGTAGTTAAAAGGTACTCATCAGTGCTTACCAGTATCATAAGAAAAGCAAAACTTTCATATTATGAGACTAGATTCAAAGAAGCAAAAGGCAATATGAAAAGCACATGGAATACCATCTCTAATATCCTGGGAACTAAAGAACACTCCCACAACCAGATAACACTCTCTAAGTATGTCCTTACACCGTCATCTGACTTAGAAATGGCGAATGAATTTAATAGCTTCTTTTCATCGATTGGTGCTAACCTTGCAAGTAAAATCCCACAGACTCAGACACATATCAACACATATCTCTCAGGCAGCTATCCAAACTCTCTTCTCCTCTCACCAGTCAGCCCGTCAGATGTTGTGTCCATCATACACTCACTAAAAACCAAAGCTGGGAACATCAGTGAAATCCCATCCATTGTATACAAGAGCGCCTCCCATGCCCTTGCGCCACCTATAGCCCTGCTGTTCAACAAATCCCTTGAGTGTCATACCTTCCCTGATATCCTTAAAAAAGCAAGAGTAACGCCAGTTCATAAAGGAGGTAATCCGTCAGACATAAACAACTATAGACCAATATCGAACCTACCCATACTATCAAAAATATTTGAAAAAATGATCTACAAACAGCTCTACTCCTATCTCGTAAAATTCGACATTCTTAGCCCCTGTCAATTTGGCTTCCGCTCTCAAAAGAGTACCAACGATGCAATTATTAGTCTCCTTGATATAATTTACTCAGCCCTTGACAAAAATGAGTTTCCAATTGGACTCTTCATTGACCTGAGAAAGGCCTTTGATACTGTTAATCACGATTACCTCTTATGTAAACTCCATCATTATGGAATCCGAGGCCATGCACTGGACTATATCCAATCCTATCTTAGTGATAGACACCAATGTGTAGCCATCAATAATATAATCTCTCCCATTCTACCAATAACCGTTGGAGTGCCACAGGGCAGCATCTTGGGACCTCTTCTATTTCTTATATACATTAATGATCTGCCTAATGTCTCTAACATTCTGAAACTTATTTTGTTTGCTGATGATACTACCCTCATCTACTCCAACCCCAACCCACATACACTAAATGATGTTGTTAATAATGAACTAAAAAAAGTCCACTTATGGATGTCAACCAACAAATTAACACTTAACATAGAAAAGACCTACTACATCCTATTTGGAAGCAAATCTACAAATGCAATTCAGCTTCAGATTGACAATGTAAACATTAGCAATAAAAATGATGGAAAGTTTCTTGGCATATTCCTAAACAAGAGACTCAACTTCAGTACCCATATACAACACATAACTAAGAAAGTCTCTAAAACAGTTGGTATACTCTCCAAAATCAGATATTTTGTACCTAACTCTGCTCTCATCTTTCTATATTATGCACTAATCTATCCCTATCTCAACTATGGTATCTGTGCATGGGGTTCAACCACTGCAAACCACCTCAAGTCCATCATCACCCAGCAAAAATCTGCTATCAGAATAATATCAAATTCTGCTTTCAGACAACACACAGCCCCCTTGTTTAACTCCCTAAACATGCTAAACATAATCTCATTCCACAAATTCACTTGTGTCAACTACGTTTACAAAACCCTGTTCTTAAATGCAAATCCTTGTCTGAAACTCTTCTTGGACAGATGTAATAGGACCCATTATCACCACACCAGAAATAAATATCTCTTTGATATCCCCAGAGTTAAACTTAATCTGTGTAAACACTCTATGCAAATAAAGGGACCCAGTTTATGGAACTCACTCCCTACTGAATTGAAAAGCTGTCCAACTTTTACATCATTAAAAATCAATACTAAAAAGTACCTAATTTCATCTTCATAGTTTTTCACTTTTTGCCTTAAAATTGCACTGTATCTATTGCTACCCAATCTCCAACCTTTATGTTCCCAATTTGAACATCTTTACCATTGTGATCATTGCTGTCTTCTTATATGTGCTGCCAATCTGCTGTATGGTGTTTGTAAATCTTGTTATCTGTATCTTTTGCTACCCAGTCTCCCAATCTTTATGTACCTAATCTGAACATCTTTACCATTGTGATCATTGCTGTCTTATATGTGCTGTCAATCTGCTGTATGGTGTCTATTAATCTTGTTTAAATTACTAATCAAGCTGTCAATGTAATCAATCAGAGCTTTAATATAGCAATGTGCTTTAATATACTTACTAAGCTCTCTCATCTCATTTTTCTCTTGCAATGTATCTTTATCATTTATCAATTCTGACAGAAATTACCTACTTAAAATTATCTGCTAGATTAAGGACCTGCCCGAAACGCTGTGCGTACTAGTGGCTTTACAAGAATGTAAATACTGTACTATCCAATGTATTCTCACAAACCCAATGTACCTT